CGGTCTGTCACTTTTTAAACAATGTTTTCCCAGCTAGACCTAACTAATAATCTAGGTCTATCGCCACCTACTGTCAGTAACATGGAAAAATGTGTTCTGGTGTAAAGACCAGAGGCAGAAACTACTACTGAATGTGCGTGACCTTTGAAAACCTATACTGCAGTAAATTACTGCATTGTTTCCCAAAGACTGGGTCACGACCCTCAGGTGGGTCGCAAAAGATTTTTTTGGGGGATGTCTTGCATCATTGTTTCCCAGGAGTTTATGAATAATGTCTATTGACTTGGGTCGCAATGGTTTGTGACTTTTAAAATGTGGGTCCCCGGAAAAAAAGTTTGGGAAACACTGTATTATTGTATATATTATAATGTGACAAATACACAGTCGAAACCAAAGCTGAGAAAATCATTACACAACACATTCAAATTATCTGTAAGACTCTCATGTCTAACCAAGGCCTGATGTCATAAAATGTGACGTCTTAAAAAATGCTGGAGATAATTAGACAACCTCCATCCTCTTTTGGTAATACTACTACAGTAAACATGGTGTCAAGTGAAGTACTTCTGTCCTACATTAACCTCCATTAAGCCTCTCTCAAGCGTGAATAAAAATCAAATCAAAACAGAAGGAAAAGAGAGAAAAACAGTGATACCCAGGAGCAACAGTCAGAGACGCAACAATAAACAACAAGCAGAAAATGAGTGGACTGATCACGAGAGGCTAGGAAAATGGACACGCCGCTGCCTCCATTTAAGTTTGTGCAGAAAGTACATCTGTGGGCAGTGGTCTGGACTGGCTGTGTCTGCCCGGTGACCCAGAGGAGATGGCATGGAGCAGTAATGGTGTGTGAGTCGGAGGTAGACAAATATATGGATACGAGCAGCGGAATATTACACACCCACGGAGACACACTAACCGAATGTTAATACTGCGCATATCGGCAGAAATTTGAAACGCTTCACATAAGATTCCACTGGGCTTTGTGCTTTCACTCGTTTCATTTTCAATATCTTTCCGCCTTGGGGAGATGCACTTTGTTTTACACTGATATGCTTTTTCTCTGCTGCGTCTGTGTCTGTGAGCTGGAAAAATATCAGCACGCTGAGATTTAGTGGTGGGAAGCTTGTGAGGTCCGAGATCTCACACACGCACAGCTCACGTTTCATACAACTCCAAGGCAGGAATTCAGTTTGTTCTGTATCTGAGATTAAAACCTCTGGATTCAGGGACGCATCACTTACTCCTGATGACGTCAATCACGTGCCCTGATATGAGATCGTTGGACTCACTCTCTGGCCACTGTGTCCCTACAGAACCTTCTGTCTCTTTACATTATCCAGCTGTCAGTAAACTTTTCTTTTTTAGCTGCTCCCTCCACCACAGAGGATCATCTCCCTCCACCTCATCCTGTCCCACCGCTCCTCTACAGTTACACCCACTGTGCTCTGTTACCAGGTCCATGAATCTTCTCCCGCGTCTTCTTTCATTTACAGCAGTTCAGCGGTTTAACAAAAAGTTGTTTTTTTTATTTTAACGACAAAAATGAACATAGCTTAGTATTTTGAGGAAAATGAGTGCATTTCTGGTCATTTTTGAGAAAGTTTTATTTTTGAAGACTTTTTCAGGAAATGATTATATGGGATTTTACTGTGTTTAAATGTTGGCGTGCCAAAAAGTCTATTTTTTCTTAATTTTAACAACAAAAATGGACATAGCTAAGTATTTTAAGTCAAGCTTACATAGATGCTTTTCTCCACTGTCTACGACCATTCAGGAGGTAGTACAGTGGAAACTCTGAACTGACCACAGCCTTCTCTGAATGTCTTTATCAACCTATCAGCCAAACCATCTAAAACTGAACTCTAACAAGCAAAAAACAATGGAGACGTTATTTTACTTTTCAAATATTTAACTAAATTCAAAGAGACCGGGGTCAAAATTAAAAAAACAATAATTTTCCGATTCTTTTCCAGTGACGTGTTTGAGTGTGTCATGACTTCAATAAGAACTGAGGTCTATTTTCTTTGTCAGTCAGTTGAGGGATTCGACCATCATCAAATTTCACTCTCTCTTCACCTTTAACTTAAATGTTTGAACAAACTTTAACGTAACTCCGGCTCCGTGTTTTTGAAATGCACTGATTTAAAATTCACCATTAACCCTTAATATTAAAGCAGCACGCTGTACGTCAGCTGCCAGTAATGGAAGTAGACGAGTGGTTTTGCCTTGAACGGAGCTCCGAGGATGAGCTCTGTGCTCATTAGGAGTCAAGAGTTGATGGTGACGTGCCTGTGAATACACTCAGTGAGTTGCTGGGAAGGATTTTGTTTTTGCGCCATCATTTCAGTTTATTTTAATTTGTCATTTCTTAAAACTTTCATGCTGCTTCGTTAGTCACCGAGATGTGTCCCCCCAATATTCAGTATTTGTGCCTTAAATGAGTGACAAGAACAAGTCTATTGATGAACCAAGTGTAGAACTTTACATCGAGAAAAACAAGTCAAAAAGTTCTGAGGCAGATCTCATCCTCTGTTGGATTTTTATGACTGAAACATGTTTTGACTATTCTGTAAACACACACTTTGTCAGTGTGAGCGTACATTCACAAAGGGGTGTTTTTACTGCTAACGTACGTCACACACACGTCCAGAACGTTGCAGTAAAATCGTCCACTGGTCTCCGCACACCGACCGTTAACAACGTGCTAAGATGAATTTGCATGCACTCGTGCTGGAGTAGCACAGGCAGATGATGCTGTTTGGATGCAGGGCACAAAGATAGATCTGTGGGCGGCCTGGGCCGATCCAGTTGCATGTCAATGAGTTCCGGCGTGTCCAGCGTGATTACCGCTAGAAATGACACACACTAGACCTTCAACCCTGAGACCTGAACAGTGAGGGATAGAAGGGAGGAAGTATTTTATAAAGAGGTGAGACTTGATGTGTCTGTACATTGATGCTTGTTGATGCTTCTAATGCAGAGTGTGTTAAAGTGACCTCTACACAGAGGAACAACACAGAACAACACCTTAAAAACTTTGCATCGCTGAACATAGGAGTGGAAAAACAAAATAAAAACAGTCCAAATCGCCATCAGCTTTTTTTAAATTGACAGAATCTTGACCTTATAGCAACTTTTTGTGGAGTGTTGAAATTTACAAATGAGCTCATGTTTTGGCGAATTTAATGGAAAACAAAAAAATTAACATGGGCAGAAATTAAAAATTCTTAACCCTTGGCCTGATGACTTTAGTGCATTACTAATGCATGCGTATTGTTTTTCTTTCTGTTTTTTAAAGTCTGCCATCTCTTGTGGAAACAGTTCATAATTCTGCTCTCATTTTCTCTACATTTTAAGGCCACAGTCTGAACATAGGTGGGAGATCTCAGCAAAGGTCACAACATGGCTGCAAAAATATGAGACGTTTCGTCCCTGAGGTCATCGACGATGAGCCACATGTGGGGACCACACACACATGCACACACACACACACACACACACATACTGTTGTGCCCTGTTAATGAGTGTATCAGAGAACAAAGCAGATAAAAATGCGCACCGTAGCCCAGCCTTTAAAAAGAGAATAAGAAATAAGCTGCTGCTGCTCTCCTGTGTGGAATACCCAATCACTGCACCCACACATACTGGCACATACGCACACACACATTTTATATACTGTACTTAATGAAAAACAAACGCATCCATACTGAACGGAGACAAATACACTAGGAGGAAACAAACAAACTAATCATATACTCTGTTTTTGTGAAACAGTTCCCACATTTGCATTCCACTTCCTCCGCACAAAGCTCATACCGTCCCTTATTAATGCAGCATTAATGCTAACACACCGTATTATCCATTGTAATCGTTTCCTGTCCTCTCATTATTTCTCCGTCTCTTTTGTCTTCCTTGTACTCCCGTCCCTGTCTCTCAGACTGACCTGTTTCACTCCGCGGCGTTGTTGTGAGAGTTAACTCATCTTTGTTGTCACAAACATCCACCAATTATTCTCTCAGACTTCACTCTTCTCCACCTCTCTGGAGTTCTTTTTTAAAAAAAGAACCTACTCTCAGTTCAGAACGTTTCAGTTCTGCTCTGTCTGTAGGTTAGTTCACCACTAGGGGGCAGTGACACCACACTGTTATCCTAGAAGAAGTTGACACTTTTTTTTTGTACCCCCCTGAGCTGCGTTCCGATGAGTCGTGATGAATAATTCGCGTCGGACGAGTGAGAGAACATTTTGTTGTTAATGTGAGTGTGTTGTCTCTCATTGAAGCTGCAGAGTTGGTTCCTCTGTAAAGAGAGCAGTGTTGACAGGTTCTGAAGGCTGGGGGGGTGGGGGGTGGGGGGTTATTTACCCTGCGCATGTCTGCCCGTGTGTGCGTGCGCGCACGCGCATCACAAGCTGTCACTCCGCTGTAATTAACAGCAAATCTCTTCTGTCGCTCGCTGACACTGTTTGAATTCACCCAGGATAACAGAGAACAAATAAACAGAAGGACTGAGTGTGGGGCTGTGTGTGTGTGTGTGTGTGTGAGTGTGTGTCTGTGTGTGTGTTTGATCATTTGATTTCCTGTCAGTCAACGCTCCAGCCTGTGTTTTCTGTAGCTTCTTTCTAATGTACATCAACAAACCACTGAATCAATTCTTCTCTGTCCATCTGTGTCCAGGAAAACCAGGTGTGTGAGAGTGTGTGTGGTTATGAGGGAGTTTGGTGGAGAGGTGTGTGTGTGTGTGAGTGTGTGTGAGTGTGTGTGTGTGTACGATGACTGGAGTGGGGATCACATTCAGCCTTGGGGTAGGTGAACCTTCTGTAAACAATGGATCTGACTGAATCTGGGCCTTCACATCTAAACCCCTTCTATATGCCTGCCTGTGTGTGTGTGTGTGTGTGTGTGTGTGTGTGTAGACCTTATGAGGCCATCGGAGGCCATCGAGGAGCCCGTGGGCAGGCTGACCTCTCTGACTGAATGTCTTTGTACTTCCCTCTCTAGGGGCTTCTTCTGTTTGAGGAGAGGAAGAAGAAAAGAAGAAACACGAACACGAGGAGGACGAGGAGGAGGTGGAGGAGGAGGAGGAAGGGCCAAGAGAGAGCTGAGGTGGAAGTGAATGCAGCCATGGCCTCTACGCCCTGTCCTTAGAGCGGCGAGTCTGTGGAAGAGAAATCAAACACCACAGGGACGACAGCAGGTGAGATGACGTCCGCGAAGATTCACATTAAGACACCGCCTCATCCCCTCACCCTCCTCACCCTCCTCACCCTCCTCACCCTCCTCACCCCCTCACCCCCTCACCACATAATAATAATAACAATAATAATGATAATAATAATAATAATTTAAAATGCTCTGAGCAAATAATGTCGGTCTAATTGTGTACAGTGGGACATGGAAAATTGAGCAGAACTCCTGTTGACATTTTTTAAACTACTTCTTTCAATGAACTGATATTAAATCCCTGAAAAATAAACAGAGATATGCAGTCATTAATTTCTACACAAATAATAATAATAATAATAATAATAATAATAATAATAATAATAATAAATATACATGTAATGAATATAAGAAAATGGTAATTTAATAACCAAATGTTTCTTTAACCCCCTTTTGTAATATAAATATAGGTTTGAATTATTTCTATAAACACAGAATGTGTCTCGGTGCCAGAGGGAGTTTTCTTTTTCCAACTGTTTTCATTTCTTCTTTTTTTCCCTCCGACCGTTCCTTGCTCACCTTACACTTTGTTTCTCCTTCTTCAAAAACAATATTTTCTGTCTTCATCGCTGTTGTTTTACTTTGGAGTTAAGGGTGAGGGCTACCGGTGGTCCTAATCTTTTTTTTTTCTTGCCCCCCTCACCCCGCCACCTCTTCCTTTGCTCCCTTTTACTCACAGGATGAAACTGTGGAGGAGGTCAGCGTGGCCTCTGCAGGTGGCCTTCCTCGTTGCCTTGGCGATGCTCTGCGTTGACCTGGTGTCTGCCGGCAGCCGTAACCATCGGGGATCAACAGGTACACGGGGTCTCACTCCGAACCCTGCCCTCAGGTTAATTACACTGTCACGGTGGAGGAACAAGACACGTCTCAGTGGCTGTCACAGACAAACCTGGGTTAGAGCTGTGAGTGGAGGCAGCGGCATTCTGTCATTTGACGGAACATAATGATAATAAAAATAAATTATATAATTTGGAAAAATTTGGAGGGCCAGATGAAAAAGCTGAATGGGCCGCATCCGGCCCCTGGGCCTTAGTTTGGCCATGTCTGGTCTAGAACATAATAAAATCATATTTGTATGGATAGTTTTACTTTCACTATGTCTACATCACTATAAGGAGTTCATTTATCCACCAATCAAACTGTGTCTAATACATCGTCAGGTAACAACATGTGGAAACACCTTCAGCCACAAATCTTCTTGTAAAAACTACAAACATGAGTGTCTTCATATTGTGATGAAAGAAAAGACAATTTGACTCATTGGTAGAAAACTCCATCTTTTCTGTTTAACGTAGTGAATGCCTTCTGCATGTGCTGCTCACAATTATATTGTAAATGATGGCTCATTTTAGCTTAACTCATGCCTTTAAGCAACACTCTTATTTTGACTTTATTTCTACAGGTCTCACAGACAAACAGAAAGACAATACAGTCATTATTACAGTCAGGCGTTGATAATCCAGGAGGGCAGGACCAAGCTCTCCGATCACCTCCTCCCTGGGCCGAATTATGACCACATTTTAATTTAAGTCTCTCAGTTTCTTTGCTCTTGTCGCCGGCGTTTTACAAGGTGACCTTTATGTGCTGCAGAAATGCTACCAGCAGCCGGCCTGCTCCAGTGAGTGATGGTGTTAGTTTTCTGTTTGACGGAGAGGAGGCAGCCTGCTTACGGCAGGGACACTGCTAATTGCGGGGACTGTGTATTGTGAAGGTCAGCGTGGCCACTGTTCGTCTCTCCTCCTCTTCTTCCTCCTTCAGAGGAAGAAAACTCTCCTCTGAGCCGCGTGGCGTAGAGTTCAAGACGTGAATGTCAACACGCCCGACAAGAAGCAGATGAAAATCTGAAAATATAATTGTCTGAAACGAAAAACAGCCGAAGATGATGATGATGATGATGATGATGATGAAGACACACTTGTTTAGTGTTGATAATGAACTTTTTTGGTCCCTGCTCACAGTCAGTATGGTCGGTGTGTAATTGGAGAAGTTTTTCGTCTGGTGATGTACCATCTGCTTCCACATGGTGGCTCTAGAGGTCAAAAAATGCTGCTCTGGAACGACTTCATATATTTATTTTTAGGTCTGCCGTTTTTTACAGACGAGCTCATCAAAAACAAATATTCGGTGAAAACAGGCGGAATGGATGTCAACGAAGCAATCAGACAGGACACGAGTGTAGATCTGTGAACACAGAATGACAAACCTGCTGCCTTTCATGAGTCTGATGAAAATAGAAAAGATAGAAAATAGAGAGATAGATAGATAGATAGATAGAGAAATAGATAGATAG